TTTCCCTAAGAAAATGTTAATCGAGTTCGATATTTTTAATACGGGCATGAAAGATTTGATTGTTAGCAATTACAAGAGCTGAATTGTTGTCCTAATGAATTGTAATCATGAATGCAACCATCACCAGACGTTCCAAAAGTAAGTGTCGTAATCACATGATATCAGTTGCATCTACTGAAAATGCTCTATATTCTACTTTGGTTGAGTAACGAGTGACAATAAGTTGTTTCTTGACTTGCCAAGAGATCAAATTTGGTCCAAGAATAGTACAATAACCGGTGAAAGAACGAAGGTCTAATGGATCGCTGACCCAACTAGAATCAGATTAACTGTGAAGAAGAAGATGTCATTGCTGAATTGGTAGTCCAAAATCCTATGTTTCTTGAATGCACTGAAGAAGTCTTTTGAGTTATTGGAAGAGAACACATAACGGTTGTTGCAGGTGTTGAGAGAGTGTATTAACCACGATATTTATGTCCGACCTTGTGGGTGTTAAGTATCGTAGAAAACTAATGAGGTGGTGATATTGAAGTGAGTTGGTTGCTGCAGTTCAGTTGTGAGAGATTGCAATAATGCCACCGGATTTGGTGTGGGTTTGCAATTTTCTATACCTGCATTTTGAAGTATCGTGGATGCATAATGAGTTTGGCTAAAAAAAAGACCAGTTGAACTGTTGTTTTTGTTGATGCCGAGGAATGTAGAAATGGAGCCCATATTCTTCATTAGAAATTCAGCTTGACGTGCTTCAAGGAGTTTTTTTTATGGTGCTTGTGTTGTTTCCTGTCACCAAAATGTCATCGAAATACAATAATAGATATACAAGAATAGTATTATGCTCATACATGACAATAAATGGGTCAGCTTGACTTTTGCACAATCCAAGATATATTAATATGCTAGTGAACATGGTGAACCACTTGCGAGGAGACTGCTTGAGTCTGTAAATTGCTTTCTATAGTAGACACACATGATTTAGTTTATTTTTGTCAATATAGCCCGACTATTTGTGCATATACACTATTTCGTGAAGTTTTTCATGAAGGAATGTATTAGTGACATCCAGTTGGAGGATGGGCCAGCTTCGATTAACTGAAATTGTTAAGGGAGTTTGAATAGTTGGGTGTTCACTCACGGGACTGAAAGTCCCAGTGTATTTCAAGCCAAGTTCTTGTTTGTAGCCTTGAACGGCTAAGCGTGCTTTGTACTTAGACATGGTTCCATCAGGTTGAAACTTCTGTACGTCCGCTAGCTGCCTTTTTGAACTGAAACTATCACTTAATTTGCCACTTCTCTAAATCCCATATATTTGCCCACATCCTGCTACCAAACACCACCTTAAGTTTTAGTGTTGAGGGCAAAACCAAGTGTTTCTGAAGTATTTGCATGCATGCCACACAAATCTTATGTATTTACATATCTAACGACTAATTTTATATTTTTACATGTATATTAGATTACTTGTGTGCCATCTTATCTATATATGAAAATGTGTATTTCACTTTGAAAGTTAAATAGTGATATTTTTTATATATTATAAAACTTATGGGTGGCACAATTGTAAAAAGAGATGTTGAGTGTTAGATATGTAAACATAGAAGAATTGGTTGGTAAGTATGTAAATGCTCCTTGATAAGTCGAGTTGAGCTCGAGCTTAATTAATTAATAGAGTTTGAACTCGACCTTGAGCTTGATTCTACTACTTTGAGTTGGCTTGTTTGTTATGAGAAAGCGAAATTAATATTAACTAAAGTTAGTGTTATAATAAAATAACAAATAGCCAGATCATGAGCTAACAGTCGAATCACGGCTCACTTAAGCTTGGCTTATTAGCTAATGCGCCTCGACGCACAATCCACTGATCTAGCCGAGCACAAGCCGGCGCATGAGTCCACTTGACTCAATTACACCTCTAGTGATATTTATGTAAAGGCCCTAGGATTGGGATTTAGTATAGGTTTTGGTAGGGTTCGTGAAATGTGCATTGATCATTTCATGCACATATGACTGATTTAATGAATATTTACAAAAAAAAAAAAAAACACTCAATTCCTATGGATTTACAAATCTAACACCTATATTTTAATTATTTAATATATACCACCTTAGTTATGCACAAAAAAAATGTATTTCACTTCTGGAAAGTTTAAATGGTGGTATTATATATATATATATATATATAGATATAGATATAGATAATGAATGTATATATATATATATATAACGAATGCTAGAAAATTCACGGCAGTAGGGAAATGTATTATCGTCTTATTGTGGTACGAATAATAAGCACACACTCTGTCCCACAAAGGGGAAATGTTTACCAAGTCTTTTGAATTATAACGTTGATGTGTAGATAAACATGTTGTAAGGAACAGGGGACGAAGGTAGCAATCGACGACGGCCTGCGGGTGATAGTCAACGGTGTTCGACGACAGTAAACGATGACGGTAGGAGTAATGTTAGACTTCAGCTCCTTCTCGAAGCTTTAAGCTCTTCCTCAAGCCTCAAGCTCTCTTCTCCCCTCTCATGTGAAGGATGAGCTCTATTTATACTGTTTCGAGCGCAATTAATCCATGAATATAAACCACTTTGATCAGACGGTCCAGAGAAATCTTTCTTTCATCATACGGTGTTCTATGGACATTTGAGTGCCTTAATAACGTCAGAATTGAACGATCTTGAGATCGTTTGATTTCTCTTGTCAAGACGCTCAATTCAATCACAAGCTCATTAGATTTGACATTCATTTAACCTCTCAAATCTGCTCAGAAAGCTTCCAAAAGTGATTTAATGATTTGATCTGAGTTTGATTTTATTTGGACTAGATCAGTTTTAGTATCATCGGGTTCTTCTCGTCGATACACTTATTCATGTATATTTCTTTTTGAGACAAAAAATAACACTTCTTCATCAACATATTTGTGCACTAAAATCTTTTAAATATAAACATTAAAATTTAAATGTTTATCGAAATATATAAAAGTTATATGGCATTTATGTAAATATTTCATTAAAAAAACTAATGTGATAAATATCGACCATTTATTCAAACATTGACTTTTTATTTTAATTTTCAAGGTCGGCAAAGCGACATAATCTTGACTTCATACCAATAAATTGGAACGGCAAGGGCCATTTACCTACATACCACACAACTTTTATATATTTACACATACACAAACTTTCATATTTATTTACGTAGCTGCCCCCATCATATCAAAATATCATGAGTAAATTTATGACACCAAATTATTATAAATATAAATATAAAAATTTATTTGTTAAATATGTAAATATAATAGAATTGTGGGGATGTGTGCATGTGTATGTATATATCTAGGCCTGTGCTCAAGGCTCGGTGCATGTGTATGTATATATCTAGGCCTGTGCTCAATGTTCATGAACAGTTCATGTTCGGCTCATTTTGGCTCGAAATACTATAAATTATATATATATATATATATCTTTGATGAGTAGTATTTTCAAAAAATTTAATGGACTACAATACTAGAAAGATTTATAATCAATTAAAAGTATTAATTAAGAAAATAAAATAAAAATTATTAAATTAGATTCAAATGATGTTATAATATTTTATGGCCACGCGAAATATTACCTCAATCCTTGACATCTTATGACTATGTGATTAGGGTTGTCAAAACGGCCTTTTATTTGTGAACGGCTTTTGTTTGGCTCCCTAAACAAAACCATATATATATATATATCTCAAATATAAGTACTTTTTTTTTACTTTTTTATTGTGATTGGCCGCAAGGTTTGACTGTAAAATCCGTGCTTTATTACATTTATGAGCCATATGTTTTACAAAATATTATTTATGCTACGAAGTATTTATATCAAACAAAACATCCGTTAAATTCTAAAATATAAAACAACGCATCACTTTCTACTTCTTTTTTGCTTCTTTGTAGCAATTATTTGCCCAAAGTCTTAGGGTCCGTTTGAGGCAGCTTATAAGTGTGGGGGCAATTTTGAAAACGTCGTCGTACCTTTCGGTTTGCTTGTTTTGTCCGCTTATCCGAAAACACGGTTCCATTTTATACTAAACACAGTCCACTGGTCAAACCATGTTGTTGACTTGTGGATCATAAACTGCCCCAAACACATGGACAGTCTATATTTTAAAGCCTGTTGACTTGTGGATCATAAACTGCCCCAAACACATTGACAGTCTATATTTTAAAGCCAACTTGAGAAGTTTTTGTCTTGTCATGTATATAAAAGGGACAATTGCATCCAGGCCACCCAAAACGTTTTATTTACATATCAACTAACATCTTTCAGCCATTTTTAAAATTCTCGCTCCAACATCAAAATTGATGGCAAAACCTCACCCATATTTTTCATTTTATCAAATTCTCAATAGTTCAGAAGTTCAAAAAAATCACCTGGGTGGTGAATCTGTAAATTACAATGTTTCGGGTGGTCTGTGTGTAATTATCCCAATAAATTGGGTGATAGAAATTAGTCTACTTAATCGTGATTAAGCATATTATTTTATATATCTCGTAAGTATGCTTAGCGCTTGATTAGCTCTTGACGTTTCTTTTCTTAGGAGAGTTCCTCCACCCAGTTCTTTTCAGTAGCGTTCCTCTACCCAGTTTAATGAATCATTAAGAAAATAAACATTATTGTTTTAAAGCACTTTTCTTACTAAGTGAGTTGAGTTGACTCGAACTCAACTCGTTAACCAGAGCACAAGTTGAGATTATCAAGTTGCGAGCAAGCTCGAGCTCGAGCTCAAATAGCTCAATCTCCTAGAGGCTCGGCTCGTTGGCTCGCAACCTGGCCCGGCTAGCAGGATTCCTGTCACGTTGATACCTTTTTCGGTCAATTGTCATAACACTTCTCCCTCACTCCCGTCATCAATCACATAGATGACTTTCTTAACGAGCTCTCATGACAATTTGAGCTCACGAGCCAGCTCTTGAGCCTACTGTTAGTAATGTGAGCCAAGCTTGAGCTCGAGTTAAACCTACTACAAATTTCTTTGCTTTCTAGCAACTAAAATAGGCTAACACTCAAGGAGCATAGAAAAAAAACTACATTATACATGCACTATAAATGATCAAACTGAACATAATTGATTAGAGATTGTTATATGTCCATAATAGTTAATCATGTGGTTCTTATTTCATTCATTTTTTCTAGCACTCTTGATTGTGATGTGTTATCTGCTCGGGCATTTACATACATATCACTATATATATGTCGAACATCCTAACATTATTTTTCACATTTATACCATCCAATTCTTTTTTATCCTATAAAAAACAACATATTTCTCTTAAAAAGTGAAATGCACGTTTTCATACATAGATAATGTGGCATGCATCTGGGTTCATACATAAAAATGGTAATACGTAATTGAGATAAGATATCTCGTACAAACCCCGCACATCCGGAAGATCAATAAGAGGATGACACATCATCATACACTTAGGGAGTGAGTGATGTTGCACCCGATGAGTGGCCATTCAGGCATGTTCGAACTCTGGATGCAATATTTTTTCATAAGGACTGAGTCTAATACATGCAAATCTTCCAAACTTCTTCCATCACAGGGCATGTGCGTTCTAACCCTCGCCGTCTCCCTCCCATCTCTCAAACCTCCCCCTTGCGGCTCCGGCACCGCTGACCCCAACTGCACCAACAAAGCCTCCTCCTTACAGCTCGGCGTCTTCTTCTTCGGCCTCTACGTCATCGCTCTCGGCACCGGCGGCACCAAACCGAACATCTCCACCATTGGCGCCGACCAATTCGACGAGTTCCACCCCCGAGAGCGCAAGCACAAGCTATCCTTCTTCAATTGGTGGCTCTTCAGCATTTTCTTCGGCACGCTCTTCGCCAACACCGTCCTCGTCTACACTCAAGACAATGTCGGCTGGACGTTGGGCTACGCGCTCCCCACTCTCGGCCTTCTCATCTCCATCATGATTTTCGTCGCCGGCACGCCATTCTATCGCCACAAGCCGCTGACCGGAAGTCCGTTCAAGAAAATGGCGCAGGTGGTGGTGGCGGCGATGAAGAAATACAGAGTAAGCGTACCGGATGATCCCAAGGAGCTATATGAAGGCAACGACAAAGCTCGGATTAGTTACACTCCTTCGTTGAGGTTGGGCTTCAAAATTTCATTTTTATTCATCAAAATTCAACCTTTTCATAGTTAATATAAGAAAATTTAATATTTTTAATTAAACATTATTTCCATGAATGCAGATGTCTTAGCAAAGCGGCGGTGAAAAGAGGGGAATCCGGTAGGCCGTGGTCTCTCTGCTCCGTCACGCAGGTAGAGGAAACCAAGCAAATGGTGAGAATGATCCCCATTCTCGTAGCCACCTTCATCCCCAGCACAATGATGGCCCAGGTGAACACTCTGTTCATCAAACAGGGAACCACCCTCGACCGCCGCATGGGCTCCCATTTTCAGATCCCCCCCGCCAGTCTCGTCACCTTCGTCACCCTCACCATGCTCATCTCCATCGTCCTCTACGACCGCGCATTCGTCCCCTTTGCTCGCCGCTTCACAAGAAACCCCCGCGGCATCTCTCTGCTCTGCCGCATGGGCGCCGGCATGTTCTTCCACATCCTCGTCATGCTCGTCGCCTTCCTCACTGAGCACCACCGCCTCTCCTTCGCCCGATCAAACGGTATCACCACCAAAGGCGCCATTGTTCCCCTTACCGTCTTCATCCTCCTCCCACAGTTCGTGCTCATGGGAATCGCCGACGCCTTCCTTGAGCCGGCCAAGATTGAATTTTTCTATGATCAGGCGCCGGAAGGGATGAAGAGTTTGGGGACTGCTTATTCGACGACGACGCTCGGTGTGGGAAATTTTATTAGCAGCTTTCTGCTTTCGACGACGGAGAAGGTGACGAGGAGGTCGGACGGCGGGGAGGGGGGTTGGATACTCAATAATCTCAATAAGTCTCATTTGGATTACTACTACGCTTTCTTTACCGTTCTGAATGTTGTCAATCTGTTCTTCTTCCTCTTTGTTAGCCGATTCTATGTTTATAGGGCAGAGTTCGGTGCTGAGATTGAGGCTGTTGAAGAATCCGATAAGGAGAAATCCAAGCATATGGATGTTAAGGATGGATAGATTTGTTCAGCTTTGGGTGGTTAAATGGTTTAATTTGGCAAGCAAAATGCGTGAAAATAAAAGATCTCTTTGAATGTCTAGTTTTATCCTGGATTTTTCCTTTTTTTTTTATTGGGTGGTGTTTACATACATACCATACAATTCTTATATTTATATATCTAATCCCTAAACATTCTTATTTATATGCGTAATACTTTCAAAACCAAAACAAATTAAGGCAAGCTCCATTACATAACATGACTAGACAAAGATGGGATGCACATTCCTTATAACTACCTAGGGGTAATTAGGCAATAAGGTATGTAGGACTACTAGAATATTCAACACAACATATATATACCTATCTTGTACTACTCTTGATTAAGCAATGATAAGGAGTTACCTACTATTCCTTTATGTCTCCTGCTTTATGGTATCAGAGCAGCTGCCCAATGTAATTTGGGTTTTCTCCAAATTCGCAATCAAAAGACGTCGGGAAAGCAGAGGTTGCTCGTTGATATTCATTGCCAATCTCGATCATTGACCCGGTCTTGTACAAGAGATTAAGACTTGTATTTTCCTCCCTTTACTGTCTCCTTGCCAATCTTCTCTCCTAATCCATCATTTATATGATCTTCATAACCCAATCCTTCTTCTAATTACATGAATTGTCGACTTTCCCGTTATCCGAAGTTTATGGCTCCTTGCCAATCTTCTCTCCTAATCCATCATTTATCTGATCTTCATAACCCAATCCTTCTTCTAACTAAATGAATTGTCGACTTTCCCGTTATCCGAAGTTCATGATTGTCCCTTCATGGAAACAATACCAGATAATGCTACACCTCCTACACTAAAATTCCTATTGAATAACCTGAATATTTTAAATAAAAATCCACTTACAGCTGAGAACTATTATACATGAATGCATAAGTACTCAATGTCTCTTCAACTAATGGTTTCCTAGGTTTGCTACACCTAAATCTCTGTCTTCCAGTGAAGATACCCTAACACCCAATTCCAAATATTTATGTTGGATCCTAATTCAAAACTTGACTGCATCTTCGTTCTCAATTATCTCTCCTACAGTTTTGCCTTATGTACTTCACCTATCGTCCACTGCTGAAATTTGGATACCTTAGCCAAACATCTTCAACCAACAAATAGATCAAGGCTAATCCAGTTGAAAATCAAGCTTCATATTGTTTCTCTGAACACTCAATCAATGAATCAATACCTCTCTAGTATCAAAACTTTAGTGGATAATATATCCACAGCAGGAGGACATCTAGATTGAGAGGGAGGATATCATCCTCTACACTTTGAATGGACTACCATCGAACTATTAAGTATTCAAGAAGGTTATTCATACACAACTACAACCTATTGAGCTCGACGACTTATATGCCTCATTGTGCAGCCAGGAAATTACTCAAGCCACTGATCAATAAAAAGTGAGGCTCTCAGCCAATCCACAATTCACAATGATTGCCTAACGGGTACGACAAAGCAACAAATCCTGTGTTCGTGGAAGAAATCAGTCATCCAATTCTACCAGATCTAAATCAGGCTACACATCAACTCGCTCTCCAGTATTGTGCCAAATATGCAATAAATTTGGACACGTAGCTACGCATTACAAGCACGCTATAAAGCAAGGCTCGTAGCTCAAAGATTCAAACAAAAATATGGTATTAATTATTATGAGACATTCTTCCCAATTGCGAAAATGTCGACTCTCCAAACCCTCTTAACGGTGGCCTTTAACAATAACTGGCCAACACTATAGTTTGATGTGTCTAATGTCTTCCTTCATGTCACTCTTCAGGAGAAGATATATATATATATATAGA